ACGTACTACAAAGTTATCAGGGGCGGCAAGTTATATGGGCCTGTAGTGCCCGGGCTATAGCAATATTCAGGATACGGGGGCCTGATTCCACACGCTGTACCTGCCCCAAACGCCGGCTCTGAAGCTCCCATTGGCTGGGAACTGCGGCCAATGGGAGCTGTGGGGGCAGTGCCTGCGGACGGGGCAGCGCGCAGAGCCACCTAGCCATGCCTCCTCGTAGGAGCTGGAGGGAGGATATGCCTCTGTTTCTAGGAGCTGCTTGAGATAAGCACCGCCCGGAGCCTGCACCCCTGACCCCTCCCGCACCTGCCCCCAGCCCCTGACTTCCCCCCCTCCCCCCGAACCTCAGTCCCAACTTGGAGCACCCTCCTACACCCTGCAGCCCTCATCCCCAGCCCCACCCTGCAGCCTGCACCCCCAGCTGGAGCCCTCACCCCCTCCCACAACCCAACCTCCTGAGCCAGTCCAGTGAAAACGAGTGAGTGAGGGTGGGGAGAGCGACCAATGGGCGGGGGGGGGAATGGAATGAGCAGGGGGCAGGACCTCAGAGGAGGGGTGGGGCAAGGGTGTTCGCTTTTGTGTGAGTAAAAAGTTGGCAACCCTATTTGGTACCATCTTTCTGGAATGTTTGCTTATATATTTTTATGCCTAGCACTACTTAGGAATGTGTGTTTTTTGCAATATCAGCCATGTTCTTGCCAGATTCTGTGAGCAGGGGCTGCCTCTTGCTCACAACTTAACTTTGCTTTATATTAGCAAGTTTTAACCATTACTTTAGCTCAGGCCTTTGATACGAGGGCTTATATTTCAGGCCCTCTTCCTACTACAACAGGAAGCACTAACCATCTTGTAGAATAAGGTCCATTCACTGCTTAAACTGTTCTTCCATCTACCTTTTAAAATCTTTAGTATTTTATTTAATTCCTCAATCTTATACCTTTATGGGGATGGGGAAGTGTTGTGGTGCAGAGTAAAATAAAGTGGCAGGAATTGCAGGTATAATCTTATATTCTGCATTCTTTGAACTTCATGTTTTGAGATACGGAGCAGAGGATGCAGCAAAGAGTCCTGTGGCACCTTATAGACTAACAGACATATAGGAGCATGAGCTTTCATGGGTGAATACCAACATCTTCGGATGCATGTAGTGGAAATTTCCAGGGGCAGGTATAAATATGCAAGCAAGAGTGAGTAAGGCTAGAGATAACAAGGTTAGTTCAATCGGGGAGGATGAGGCCCTCTTCTAGCAGTTGAGGTGTGAACATCAAGGGAGGAGAAACTGCTTTTGTAGTTGGCTAGCCATTCACAGTCTTTGTTTAATCCTGAGCTGATGGTGTCAAATTTGCAGATGAACTGAATCTCAGCAGTTTCTCTTTGAAGTCTGGTCCTGAAGTTTTTTTTTGCTGCAGGATGGTTACCTTTAAATCTGCTATTGTGTGTCCAGGGAAGTTTGAAGTGTTCTTATGCTCCTATACGTCTGTTAGTCTATAAGGTGCCAAAGGACTCTTTGCTGCTTTTACAGATCCAGACTAACACAGCTACCCCTTTGGAGCAGAGGATGAGATCCACAAATCCAGCATTTGTTCTTCCCAGAGTTGTGAATTGTCAGTTCTCTTTTAGATTGCATGCCTTTTACTTCTATAAAGAGTGCTCAGTTTAGCCTAACATCGATGGCCAATTGTTCGTTCAAAGTTCAACACTGGCCAGATTACAAATAAAAAAGCCACTTTTGCATGTGAATTGTACTGCCTGTCTGTAAACTGTGCAGTACGCTCTTTGAGGCAAGGATCATGCTTTCCTCTATGTTTTGTAGAGGTCTGACTTCTCTGTTTGTGTATTGCCAAGGACAATGTTGGTGCTTAAATATGTAATAAAAGTGCAAGGAGAAGGCCTATAAAGTTGCAAGGGCTTCAGTGGGGGAGCATGTTTTTGTTTTGAGGTTTTTTGCATGATGGATAATTTTGTAAGATACTTGTTTTAGTTTGGTAGAAGCCCTTACTGGTGATAGGCTCTTTAAAAATGTGAATTCTGCTATCTACGTTCTTAATAATGTAAATGAAGATTATCCATTTAAACCAAAATAAAGATGCTTTAATATCATATTTTTCCAGTGTTTTTGCAGCAATTTTTGTTACAGAGCATCTAAATATTTTGAAGCTCAGATTCCCAAAAGTCCAGTGTGGATGCGAGAAGAAGAAAGGTAATTTGATCACTTGTTCTTTTTGTTTGTTTGTTCTATGTGAGTTCAGGTACAGTACAACTAGGTGTGAGACAATAATAAATGGTTATACTGAAACTGAAGAAAATCTAAAACTATAAAAGGCTAATGAGGTGTGTGTTATAAAAGTTGTATATATAATCAAGATGGTAATTTTACCATATTGATGTGATTGGCAATATAAATGCCAGTTAACAAAATTGTTCAGGGTCTGATCTGGAGAGGTCCTGAGAAACTATTATTCCTATTAACTTCAAAAAGTCCTTCTTAAGATTGGAATAGGCATTTTTATAAAATATACTAAGGATAGGATTAATTCATTTTATCCTATTACAAGAGTTGTTCTCATCTCAACATAGCACTGATACTGGATTTGAAGTCAGACGTTAAAAATGTGCATCAGAAAACAGAATATAGGACTACAACAAAAAGCAGTACTATATCTTAGGTAAAATCCTAGTTTCACATTCTTTTAAGCAGCAGAGATGAGGAAAAAGGCAACATGCATTTTGGAAGGGTGTAATTTTGTCATTTCTCTTGGTAAATTGACTGCCTGGGTAAGTAGAGAAATAAGTACTTGAAATTAACCAACCAAACCACTGGATGTCACCGTTTCACAGTACAAATACCTGCCTGGAGAAAGGTCATACAAGTTTATCTAACTTGCTTCAAAAATATTCTCTAAGATAGTGGTTTCCAGAATCTCCTGTATTTAGCTCTAGTTCTAAATGGGGAAAAAAGCTAAAACTAAATTTTGAGACTGACAGGGTTTGCTAAGAATTGCCTAGACTGCAAGCTCCTCAGGACTGGGGCTGTCTCTCATTACTAGCACTGTGCTGATGTTATATAAAAATAATAATTAGATGTAAACACTATCTCTGAAATCCTTTCAAGAGCAAAGAATAAAGTTATCTCATTGAAAATCTGCAAATGGAGAATTTTGCGTGATACTGCAATACAAATAATAAATAGTATTTTGACATGTTTTATTGTCATCTTGAGATTTCAGACTTAAAACATTGAGATGAATGGAACAGTTCATATCCATCAGAGCTATTGTTTCAGGCTGTCTGTGGATTGAGGACAGCACTGCATTGATTTTCATTTGGTTCATGTTTAGAAGGTTTCCTTGCAGCCTTGCATAGGAGCTAGAAACAATTTTAAAAATAAATATCCAAAGCAGTGGTTGTCAACCAGGGGTTTGTGTACCCCTGGGGGTACGCAGAAGTCTTCCAGGGGATACATTAACTCATCTAGACATTTACCTATTTTTACAACAGGCTACATAAAAAGCACTAGTGAAGTTAGTACAAATTAAAATTTCATAACAATGACTTGTTTATATGCTCTATATACTATACACTGAAATGTAAGTGCAATATTTATATTCCAGTTGATTTATTTTATAGTTATATGGTAAAAATGAGAAAGTAAACAATTTTTCAGTAATAGAATGCTGTGACACTTTTGTATTTTTATGTCTGATTTTGTAAGCAAGTAGTTTTTAAGTGAGGTGAAACTTGGGTGTACACAAGACAAATCAGACTCACTTCTGAAAGGGGTACAGTAGTCTGGAAAGATTGAAAGCCACTCTTGTAGGGCACCGTTGGTGCTGCAAACAAATAAAAAAGCAAGCTAATTTTAAGTCCCAGTAGACATTTTTGTGGGGGGAGGAGATCCATCGAACACTTCTTAAATGGGCAGGTATTGTCAGGGTGTTTTTCTAAAAGCAATATTAAATTTTCCTTTTGGTTTATAACAAAAATGTATTTCTAAATATACTGGTAAACTTTAATTTAAATCAGCAGTGGGTTAGAATTAGGACTGTCGATTAATCGCAGTTAACTCACGCGATTAACTCAAAAAAATTAATAGCGATTAAAAAAATTAATCGCAATTAATTGCACTGTTAAACAATAGAATACCAACTGAAATTTATGAAATATTTTGGATGTTTTTCTACATTTTCACGTTTATCTGTTTCAATTACAACGCAGAATACAAAGTGTACAGTGCTCACTTTATATTATTTTTATTACAAATATTTGCACTGTAAAAATAATAAAAGAAATAGTATTTTTTCAATTAATCTCATACAAGTATTGTAGTGCAGTCTCTTTATCGTGAAAGTGAAACTTAAAAATGTAGGGTTTTTTGTTACATAACTGCACTCAAAAACAAAACAATGTAAAACTTTAGAGACTACAAGTCCACTCAGTCCTACTTCTTGTTCAGCCGGTCGCTAAGAGAAATAAGTTTGTTTACATTTATGGGAGATAATGCTGCCCACTTCTTAATTACAATGTCACCTGAAAGTGAGACTAGGCATTCACATGGCACTGTTGTAGCTGGCATCACAAAATATTTATGTGCCAGATGCGCTAAAGATTCATATGCCTCTTCATGCATTGGCCATAGTTCCAGAGGACATGCTTCCATGCTGATGACGCTTGTTAAAAAAATAATTCATTAATTAAATTTGTGACTGAACTCCTTGGGGGAGAATTGTGTGTCTCCTGCTCTGTTTTACCCGCATTCTGCCATATATTTCATGTTATAGCAGTCTCGGATGATGACCCAGCATATGTTGTTCATTTTAAGAACACTTTCACAGCAAATTTGACAAAATGCAAAGAAAGTACCCATATGAAATTGCTAAAGATAGCTACAGCACCTGACCTAAGATTTAAGAATCTGAAGTGCCTTCAAAAATCTGAGAGGGACAAGGTATGGAGCATGGTTTCAGAAGTCTTAAAAGAGCAACACTCTGATGCGGAAACTACAGAACCCAAACCACCAAAAAAGAAAATCAACCTTCTGCTAGTGGCATCTCACTCATGATGATGAAAGTGAACATGCATTGGTCTACACTGCTTTGGATGGACAAGCCGAACTAGTCATTGGCATGGACGCATGTCCCCTGGAATGGTGGTTGAAGCATGAAGAGTCATATGAATCTTTAGTGCATCCAGCGTGTAAATATCTTGCGACACTAGCTACAACAGTGCCATGCAAATGCCTGTTCTCACTTTCAGGTGACATGGCAATTAAGAAGCAAGCAGCATTATCTTCTGCAAATGTAAGAAAACATGTTTGTCTGGACGATAGGCTGAACCAGAAGTAGGACTGAGTGGACTTGTAGGCTCTAAAGTTTTACATTGTTTTATTTTTGAATGCAGGGCTTTTTTGTACGTAATTCTACTTTTGTAAGTTCAACTTTCATGATAGAGATTGCACTACAGTACTTCTATTAGGTGAATTGAAAAATACTATTTCTTTTGTTTTTTACGGTGCAAATATTTGGAATCAAAAATAAAGTGAGCACTGTACACTTTGTATTCTGTGTTGTAATCGAAATCTATATATTTGAAAACGTAGAAAATGTCCAAAAATATTTAGATGGTAATCTATTATTGTTTAATAGTGCGATTAATTGCGATTAATTTTTTTTAATCGCTTGACAGCCCTAGTTAGAATACAAGATGGTTTAAAAATGAGGGTTTTTTTTGGGGGGGGGGGGGGTTGTATCATAAAGACTTCCCCTAATCATGATTGTGGAAATCCTATTCAAAATTGCTAATGGTAGGTTCCTGCAAACACTTACATGAGTCAAGTTGCTTGTGTGTGTATGTAGCCCTCTTTGAGTTCTATGGGACTATTCAGAAGAATAAAGTTAGTTACCCGCTTAAATGTTTGTAGGGATCAGCCGTAATGCTGTATATAAAAGCTCCAAATGTTCATTTTTCAGTATCAGTTGTTGGGAAACTGTTCCAAAAAGATGTTTCAAAAACATCTGTTACTGTGTCACCTTTGAAATTCCTTTTTATTAAATCCTTAATCTTTTTTTCTTTTTGGCAGACCACCAGATATAGAACTGCTGAAGGAGGGGCAAAGGTACAGCTGAATCAATGATTCTTACATTTAACGTACAGTATTCACAGTTGGAAAGGGAAGCCTTTGATTTCCTGTTTTGCTGCAATATATAATGTACCATTATTGCAGACCACACAAAGAATATTTGCCTTGTTTAGCTTTTTCCTTTGTGATGCTAAAAAGAGTATTTGATCTGTATGATTTAGTGTACAGCTGCTCGTAGCCTGTATCTCTTAATTGAAGCTGTTGAAACCTGACACAAATGCAATGTTTGTACTCTGCATATTTTGTACCATTGATCCTTTATAAACTAAATGGTACCAATTATATGTGTTGAAAGCTTCTGTGAGTCTTAATATAAAACATTTATATCTGAAATATATAAATCCTACCACTCTTTGTTTGCTTCCACCTCTTTGTTAGTTCTGTAAATTGTGATTTTTTTTTTTGCATGTTTTCCTCTACAGCATTTGGCCATTAGGGGGCAAACTCGCATATTCCTGCAAAAACAAGTAATCTGCTATCCCCTTGTTCTTAATCAGCATACTGTATTTCATTCATATAATGGAAAAATGTGGCTTAAAATGCCTGTATTCGCTCTAGAATTTTAAGGTGCTAAGATTTGGCAGCATAAGTCTGACCTTGTGCTCTTTTTTTCTTCTAAATTTTGTCAAAGCAAATATATTTTGTTTTTTCTTTTCCTCCCTACCCCTCATTTGCAACATAAGATGTCTGCTGTATAGTATCTGCAGTAGTCATCTTGATTACTAAACACTAAAACACTTTACATTTGAAATTTTTTTCTTAGAAAACAAATCTTATTTAGATCCCTTAGTAAGGGTCTAATTCTTAATGTTAAATAAAATAATACACCTTTGCTAGAACAAAATTATTTGTTCATTCTTAAAATATATGCTATTCAAAATCATCTAGTTTGCAAATGCTATTATAACTGAAGTCTGTCCTGTGTTTTAATGATAGTCTATTTCTTCTGTAACAGTGGCCAGTCTGGGGAAGAAGTAAAACTACATGATGAAGTCATTAAAGTCTCAGATATTGAAAATCCTAAGACATCAGCAAGCCAGTGTGACTCTGCTTCCCATGGCACATACAGTGACAGCAGCAGTGATACTGAACAAGAATTTGTTTCCTCTATTCTACCAGAAAATCGATCAAATGCAACCAGTCTGGTGCGACCGTTGCACAAAAAAAGTATACTCAAAAAGAAGCCTGGTCAAAATATAAACTCCACGCATAGAGATGGAGACCATAGAGTGATAAATGTCACCGAACAATTAAGTGAGTGCAAATTAGATATCCAGGAAAAAAAGAGTTCTTGTTCTGTTAGTGGCATTTCTTCAGACATTATTATATCGGAAAACTTAAAAAATGCAGAAAACTATGAAAGTAGGTGTAACGGTTCACAAGTAGTTTTGCTAGGTGTGAGTAAAGAGGGGGCAGAACAACTCAAAAAAATACTTGCTAAATCAAAGCAGCATATCAAACCTGAAATGAGTGCACCAGTTGATTCCCTTACTGCTACACGTAATGTGTTAGATGTGCTTAAGCAGACTTTTATTGAATGGAGAACTGAAGAAACTTACAAGTTTCTCTGTGGATCCAGCTATGCTACTGTACACTTACCGGAACACACATCAGCTGTCAACTGTGAGAAAGAAGAACTTGATGAGGATGACTTAGAAACAGCAGATGACCTTAATGACGCTGCTGCTGATACAAGGGAATCTAAAAACAGTTTGAACCAGTCTTTGCCTTTTGGGGGCACAGGTGCAACAGTTAAACCTTTGCCTAGCTATGAAAAACTAAAAGAAGAAACAGAACTATTAGGACTAAGAGTAAAGGAATTCTATAAAGGAAAATGCCTCTTGACTGAAGAAGCAACAACACAGGTGGAAGGAGCGGAGCATCCTAGCAGTGTTAAAGTAAGTATCCTGAAAAACTGGACTGTTTAGTTCTGTATGTTTATACAGTGCTTAAGTCAATGGGGCACTGACCTATATGGCCTCTAGGTGTTACCACAATATAAACGTTGATAATAATCTCATAGTAAAATTTCAGCATTGTCACCTTCTGTTTGTCACTCTGAAGCTAGAATGTCTGAGTCCATGTGATTAGAGCGACAAGATGGGTGAGGTAATATCTTTTATTGGACCAACTTCTGTTGGTGAGAGAGACAAGCGTTTGCCAAACAGAGCTCTTCTTCAGGTCTGGGAAAGGTACTCCAAGTGTCACAATTAATTCCAAGGTGGAACAGATTGTTTGGCATAAGTAGTTAGCACATATTCTAAAGGATCATTCAAGATAGAGTGGCCCATTAAAACCTCTGCAGTCATAGGACAAAAACCAGGGGTTAGTGTGTTACAGATTGTTGTAATAAGCTGTAAATCCAGTGTCTCTGTTGAATCCATGTTTTTTAGTGTCTAGCAGAGTTATGAATTTAACCTCCCAGGCTCATCAGTGTGAAGCAATGGAAACAGTTACAAGCATGGCTGACAGCTCTTTTTCTCTAGAATGTCACCAGTTTCAGTCATCACTAGGATTTGCAGTCTGTTCCCATATGTACTGGTAAATGGAGGCACATGACTTTACAACTTACATCTGTGCGACAGAACGGGCTTTCAGCTAGTAATAACAATAATTAAGGATGGTCAGCTCCTGAGCAGTTACCTAGATTTTGGCCAGCTAAAATAATGAATTCTCATGTTCATTTTCAACAGCTTCTTGTTACGTTACAGAATGCCATGGACTAATCAGCTATTTAAGTGTGCTTTAACTTGGTATAAAGCACAGAAAGGAAGCACTGCTAAACTGAACTAATGTAAGAATGTTAAAGGTTAAATTAATTCTATCTGGCCATTGTGCAGATGCATAGAGGGAAGAAAGAGTGGAATGAGTCTTTTCCTCCACTCTACCTCTGTGGCCTCTGCACGAGGGCCAAACACAACCAGCATCCCTGCTCTCAGAGCAACTGCTTCCCTCTACATCTCCCTTGGAATCGCAGAGACTTCCCAGCCTTTTAGATTTCAAATATTGCAAGGAACCATATAGCTTTGGGAACTTTTTCACTTTCTAGGCATTAAGTCATCCTGTCACAGAGCTTTGCATCTCTTCCTGTCTGTCTTCTGGTAGGAGGATTTATAGACACAAAGAGATGTAAAACTGTATGAGGTTTCACCTCTTCCAAGTCGAGTAGGCCAGCTCTAAACATCCAGTTCCTTTTGTCTCAATCATATGGAGACAGTACTCTGGCTGACTAGACTAGGTTACGCATTTTGTGTTGGTGTATGTAGTTCTGGGTTTCTTTAAGTTTTAGGAAGTTTTCAATATGAGAAGGAGTAATTTTGCAAAAGCTTATTTTTATTAAATAAAGTAACTGTAGTGTGCTTAAAATGAAAGAAGACGTTATCTGGGATCAGTTAGGGTAGGTCTACACTTACCTCCGGGTCCAGCGGTAAGCAATCGATCTTCTGGGATCGATCCCGGAAGTGCTCGTCGTCGACGCCGGTACTCCAGCTCGGCGAGAGGAGTACGCGGCATCGGCGGGGGAGCCTGCCTGCCGCGTCTGGACCCGCGGTAAGTTCGAACTAAGGTACTTCGAATTCAGCTACGTTATTAATGTAGCTGAATTTGCGTACCTTAGTTCGAAATGGGGGGGTATTGTGGACCAGGCCTGAGTATTACATAAGACTCCCCCTGAAAAGTTGTCATTAGTTTTTATGACACCCTCCATAATGGATTCTGAAGAAAGGAAAAAAATAGATTAGTAATATAGGTAGGCCTGGCTTGACTTGGGAATCTCAACAAGTAAGCAAATTGTAATTAAGGCCCGATTTAACAGTTCAGTCCTTCAGGAGCTCATACAATTCCTAACCACTCCTGTCCAACTACAATTTCCACTACCCTGAAGCCAGATCATTATTTCTAAAATAGATCATTATTTCTAAAATCTAGCCTTTAGGTTTTGAATATTCTTTCCTTTCATGTATGTAAACACTTATTGCACTTGTGCCATTTTTTTCTGCTCAGAAACAGTAAAATTTAACAATGGGGAAAACAATCAATAATTGGCCACAATATTGCTTTGTTTTACTGACTTTAAAAAATTGACTTGAAAATTCAGATGTCTACCATGTGTTCATTATGTTTTTGTATTTTAATGTAGGATGACCAGCAGGGTGATCCCATCCTCCCGCTTGTAGATTCTCATGCCCAAATGCAGATTCGAAAGCAGATTGTACTTGAAAAATTGAGAAAAGTGTAAGTATCCCTTCTTTCTCTTTGAGTACTTATGACTAAATTAAGTCTCCAGCCCAAATTAGCTCAGAATGTGGCTGCCTGCTCATTAATCAGTGCCACATATATTGAGCACGTTACACAAGTGCTCTGCGATGTCCATTTACTGCCTATTAAATTCCATCCAGAAATTAAAATATAAGATAAAACCATAAATTCTTTAATTAGCTGGGATTTAGTTGCTTGAGGTATAGTCTCTTTATGTGTGATACAACTGTAGTTGTTAGTGGATGTGCTCAATCTGACAACCTCCTGGGTCATAAAGGAAGGGCCTGCTGGCAGGGCATCTTACAAAAGGAACTTGCCCCTTTCTTAGGTGTGTCAGAGCCCATGTTTGGTAAGCTTCTGCTCATGTTGTAAAGCTCATTATCCTCCCTCTGCATGGGGGGAGAGGGGTTGTCACAGGCTTGTGGGAGTTGTTGGTGTTTAACTGTGGAATACATTCCACTGCAATTTGTGTATTTTGTGGATTTTAATGTTTGCTATTGTAAATATGCATGGAGCTTAAATAAGGGATAAGTGCTTTTAAGAAGTCAAATGATCTTATTGTCTAGATGGAAAACTAACTAACTTCTTTTCCTTGTTTAAAAGAGTTTTCTGATAGACTTAAAAATATGAAGTATTGCTAATAACGTTAACACACTAACTTTAAAAGCTGAACTGGAATATTTGCTCGAAATTATAATGAAACTGGGGCAGGAAAAGTATTGTTATGTCTTGTTTGGTATCAAGTATATTGTCACTAAACAGATATGGCCACATCTACACAGAAGAAAGCATAGTTTTGAAAACCGGTAAATGGTTCCAGCAAAGTTCTCACTGAATCATTTTCTTATATACATGGCTAATGTGATGAGGCTTATGTGATTTTTTTTTTTCATGCTTTGTCCCTGCCTCCACTGGCTGAAGGCAGCCAAACTACATTAAAGCCTGTCTAAACTGAATTTTAAGTTTCTAAACACTATTCCCTTTTTATCATAGATAGGGCCTTTGTGCACTAAAGAAAAAAGCATATTGCAGTTCAAGGTCCTATATACATGGCATTAAAAATGGCTAAACCAGCAAGGTTTAACACCATATAAAAATGTCTCCTGCTAACCCACTTTGCCTAAGCAGTGCAGACAAGAAACAACATTTTAAGGACCATGAATAAGAACTTAGTCTAAAACATTATTATTTTTAAATGACTATGTCTTGTCTGTGTTGCCTAGGCTACCTTGGCATGAGCCCCTCCCCCCTCCCCTTTTTTTTTAAAGTTTCCATTAGCATTTCTTATCAGAACTGCATTGTAACAAAATTGATGATTTTTAATCAGAGATCCTAAGAAAACTTCCCCGTATTTCTGCCAGAGTGAATGTCATCACAGCTACCAAGAGCATGGTTTGAAATAGTTTTATTATATTACAAATCCATGTTCTCATTCCCTCATTAATTTATCACATCTGTCACTTATGCTGAACCTTCTCATACTACTAGCAAAGGGTGAATTTAATTTGTACTGTCTTTGTGCTCTGTATGTGTGACATGGCCTCTCAGCTACTAATATACCTATATAATATTAGGTATATTCTCTGCACCTAGCTGCTAATTCAGTTGTGTAATTTTCTCTGACTACTTTTTTTGAACCCAAATAAAATTATGAGAGTAGGAACATTACTCACTTAACAACTAAATCAATTAAACAGCTATGAGCTGGGTGCAAACTTTTAAGGGGGGTACAAATGCCATTTCTCTCAAGTAGATATGTCCTAGGTGTGTGTTATCCTCCACTTGAAGACTTAATTAAGAAAATTAAATTATTTCACTGCCAAAGAAATCTAAATATTGCAAATTTGAAATAGTTTTGACACTTAAAATTCTAGTCTTCCATATTGTAAACCTAATTGCTTTTGTAAGAATGCCTTGGCATAACTGACATTGGAAGCTGATTAATAACATAACTTGCTAAGCAGCAAGTATATCAAAAGTCGTATCCTATTATGCTCTTCTCCAATAGCTACTGTAAAATGCAGTGACATTGCAGCAATGCCTTCTCTAATAAATGAATCTGAAGTGTAAGCTATATGCCAGATTTAAAGCTCAAAGAAGTCAATACAAGTCTTTCTAGTGATTTCAGTGAGCTTTGGATAAGGCCCTATTTGAGGAGCAAATGGTTGTGTATAGAAAGAAGGAAAATAACCTAATATCCTTTTGCTTCCAGATTGCCTGCAGTTTTGGGCCCTCTTCAGATTACACTAGGTGATGTTTACATGGAACTGAAAAATCTTGTCAAAACTTTCAGGTAAGTGTTGGTCTTTTCAGGGATTTTTCCTGATTCAGTAAATAACATCTAATGTAGACACACATGAATTAGGATCAAAGGAACCCCAGTGAAGGTTTGCCCTGCTTCAGTAGTAGGTCAGTGTAGGTAACATCATGTTCCCTGTGGACTAACAAGGCAGCCCCATCCCCTGCTCCACTGACTGTGCTCGGGTCACTATGAGTATTTTATATATTTTTAAGAAGTAGGCCAGTGGTCTCAGGAGGATGCTGATGAGTCCTTTAAAGATACTACTGCCCTGTCATCTCCTATTAAGCATGGGCGTTTGAGATCTGTCACTTCCTCAGTGCACCCTGCAGCTGGGCTAAATGGGGCTATGGGGTGTGATTAATGATGGTTGCTGCCAACTCCCTGAGCAGTGAGGAAAGTCAAGCTTGGCCCACTCTACTCCTGATTGCAAGGGGAAGGATAGAGAACAGCTAAGAACCATGTTAGTTCCCTACCACCGGGAGCCAGTGAGCTTTAATCTCTCCCTATGGCCTCAGTGAACCTAGTTCCCAGGAGCGCTGAGGAAGGTGGCAGCACAGACAAAGAGGGTGGGGGTAACTTTTCTAAACACCTACCCACTCTGCGGGTCAGCAGCCAATTCCTCTTCACTGACACAACACAGATTCAATACAGGCTCCATGCCCTTGAGCCCCAACAAGAAGAGGGAGTGATAGCAATTGCTAATTATGAGTGGCCGAGCCATGTTTCAGGACATTGACTTTAGGTATTAATGTTTTTGCTCTTGGCCGTTCAGTGCAACCCAAGAATTTTTAAAAACTCTTTTCTTGTGGCATTTATATTTTAATGAGTAGAATGTCAGTTCCACTTGAACCCTTAATTTTGGCTAACATCTTCAAAGACCAGGTTAGACTAAAGAGCTGGGACTTGTAAAGACAGAAAACATTTTTTTTATGGTGATAGAGGTGGTACGCATGAATTTTTTAAAATTTAATTTCTATAATTTCTATAATTGCTGTTTTTTAAAATAAATCCTGATTAACTCCACACTTTCTCCTAGCAACTATGCCAAACATTTGTAAAGGGTTAGGGAAGAACTTCTTTCATATATGCTAGAGTTGCAGGGGTATACCCCACATACACGAATGACCTGGGTTTACAGAAATGTAGGATTTTTTAGTCAGTCTGTAATGCTAAATTCATAATAGTCCCCTCAGCCTGACTGAGTTCTCTGGATTGCTGAAACTAGCATGGATTTTGGTGTACTCCAACCATGGGCCTTTGTAACAGACCCATCACAGTAGTGTCTCAGCACCAAAACACACTTCTTTCAAAAGCATACCTGAAAGCAATTTTGGACATATTAGTTAAATTTGGCTCCCTATTATTAGGCTTTAGACATACAGATTTTACCATCTTCATTATTATTTGTTAGGATCTGTTGCCCGATATCCCAACTGAACTTTTATTGCCAATTTATTGTTAATATGATCTAAATTGCAACCTGCCTGAGGACTCGTCATTGTTATGTTTCCCTTTTTTTTTTTTTTTTTACTCCTAAATATCTAAATATATGGAGCAGTGTCTTAGCAGTATTCCAATCTCTAGTGTTGAAACAAAATAGAACAAAATCTTTCTTATTAATTGCATCTGATGTTGTTTGAGTTGTCTTTTCAGTTACTTAACGTTGAGACCTTTTTGCAACACTTTTGGATAAGGTGTGAGTTGAAGGCCATTGGTAGCTAATTGGGAGTTCTTCTAATGTGGAGGATCTTAGGTGAATTCTTTACTTGGCAGTTGGTTTGTGTTTAATTGCAGTTTGGGGATTGTTTTTCTACATATTGAATTTAATGTAGCACCTAGAGCAATGCACCTAGGTGCTTTAGGAACCTAAATAAAGTAATTATTTTGAATTCACATCATTGTTGCTGAGAACAAGATTACAAAATACAAGGTGCATAGTGTGGGGCCAAATTCTCCACTTCAGTTATCCGTAGAATCAATTCAACTAAACCTACATTTATTTTTCCTTCATACTGCTCCTAGCAAGAAGGAACAATTCATTGGGCCTTTTCTCCATCCGTACCTGGACTTCTGCTGCAGCAGAAGCTGGTGGCAAATACTACCTCATGGACATGAGGATAAAAGCAGTAGTCATTGATGCATAGATCTCCAATCCTGCAAACGCTTATATGCCCAGGCTTAACTTTACTCACATGAGTAGTCTCATTGATTTCAGCATGAATACTCACAAGGGACAGTTAAACCATTTGCTGAAGTACTTGGAAGATTCAGGGCCTTAAGTACCACTTACTATGCAATAGGGTTGAAATGCTGAATAAAATAATGAGTGGGCATCTCTGACAAATAGAAGTTCTCTTTTCTGCTTCGTGTACTGGAAGTACTTCAGGCTGAAAAATTGTTGAAGGCCCATCATAGGGGATAAAACACATGGCCATAATGTGGGAGAGTTTAGTTAAAGAAGGGTAAAAGAGAATGTGGTGAACTGAGCAACAGCAATTTTCAGCTCCATTGGTTTTTAAAGGAACACGTGCAGTTCAGCCTCTTTTGGACAGCATTTTATTCAATCACCACTGTTGGGAAGCGCTCTAAAGAGATCTCTGGAGACAGTTCAGAATGGTTATAGTTCTTCCCAAGCAAAGTCCCTCAGTGCCTGTAAGCTTTTGTTACGAAAACTGAGATGTCAAATAACTCTCCAGAGTCTGTCAGGGCACTTTGTTAAAGACTAAGAGAAAATTAGGTATTTACATAGAAATCTAGGTTAAATGACTAAGTGAATAAGTTAGAGACACAAGGCGAGTGAGGTAATATCTTTTATTGGACCAACTACTGATAAAAATAAATACTTTTTCACCCAATGCACAATCAGCCCATAGAACTCCTTGTCCCAAGATACCACAGAAGACAAGAGCTTAGCAGGATTTAAAAAAAAATGATTCGACACTTTATACAGATAACAAGAATATCCAGAGTTGTTATATTATGGACAAAAAAACAGGAGTTTGGATATAATTACTTATGCACTTCAGTGCATAAACCAGTCCTTAATGGGAGTTAGGAAGAAACTTTTCCTAGGGCATGTTATTCAATGACTGTCTTTTGCACTTTTCTTGCACCTTCATCTGAAACATCTGGTGCTGGCCACATTCTGAGATCGTATACTACATCTGATTCAGTATGGCAATTCCTATGTTTCTCGGCACTTCATTTGTAAGTTTCCTTTCAAGGTGACCACCTGCCTCTTGGAGCATGGGAGGCAGTATGTTCTATCCCTGGGGTAAGCGAGCCCTTATATTGCTAAAAGAGCTTCTTTTCTGAAAATTCTAGATTGTTGGGTCTCGGAGCCAAGTTTTGTCCCAAAAGCACTGTGGGTGTGCTTGGATCTTGTCTCCCACTTGTTGTGTCCTATTCCTGTTAGAGGCAAGGATCAGGCCATCACACTATTCTTGCCAGAGGGGAAACTGATCAACGCTGGATCACTCAGGCAGGAGCTGACCTTAATTTAATGAGAAAATGTACCAAAGTAAAATTGATTGGCATTTTGATGCTAAAAGAAATATGACCTGCACGCATTTGTCTTTCCCAGAGTTTTCTGTTTAACCCAATTGTTACCTAAAGTTTGGGCTTCTTTATTGCTCCTGCAACTTCCCATGTCAAAATTAGCTTTTTCTTCTTTGAGTAATTTTCTGTGGGTACTCCGCTTCTGGTGTGCATATACATGTGTGCCTCTGATCAGAAACTTTTGGTAGGAGTGTCTGCGTGGTCCATGCCTGTGTGCTGTACATTGTTATGCTCCAATCCGAGGCGTATAAGGCAGGCTGGACCTGCTGTTGCTCCAGTTACTTCAGCTTATCCTTAAATTTGTATTTTTATTTTACTTTTTACTTACCTTGCACACTTATTGTGTGGTCTTTTCATTCCCTCCGCCATCTTTTTCACAGTCAGGGTTCTAAACCTGCCAGACATGTAGAAGGTCATTTTCCCCTCAGCAACAGTCATTCCAGCTATCCCCACTGTCTGGGGGCGACACACATCATGTCAACATGCAAGATCTTCATCAGATTTGAAAGCCGACCCAGGAAACTGAGGGAGGCTAGACTTAAGCTGCTTCCCATGGTGGGTTCTGTGCAACCTTCCTCCAACTCAGGGCCCACCACAGCCCTAACTCAGTGTGTCAGGGTCAGCCAACCAACGCTGTCCTTCAACTTCTACGGCTCTGTCTCTGTTGAGTAAGAATCATTGCCGGCTCCAGAGACTAGCTCAAAGGGCTCAAAAAAGAAGAGACCTAAGTCCATTGATAGAGAAGCATTGAAGAAAGGGGGTACTTTGCCTCAGAAATCGACAATGAGATCTCATGTCCCATCTCAGGTACAGTCAAGGCTTCTAGACCCTCCTGTACTGCACTTCCTGCTCCAACTAAAAAGACTTCTAGTGCTACTTACACTGAAAAGTTTCTTGATACACAGCTCTACCTGGTACTGATGGAAGTACCTGGTTCAGAACCAGCCACGCAAAATAACTCTGCCACCTCGAAGAGATCAGTACTAGCACCAGCTGCCCCAGTCCCTGCCCCTCCAGCAGGGCACAATCACCAAGGGCATTCCGATCACGACCCTTTGCCATCTTTGGTACTAGTGGCTTCAGGTACAGCGGACTCGGCTCTCCAGTGTCCTGCCTTCCCTGTACCGAGCAGATTCCTGTTCCTGAAATCTCCTAGTCTCTGAGGAGCCCAGGTCTCCCCTACTAATGGTACTGAAGAAAACCACTCCTCCAGAGCACTCTCTGGTACCAATGAGATCTGCTCCCACCTTCAATAGAGGGGAAGACTCCTCTTCTGACTCCAGAAATCTCAGGGTTTCACCACCTGCTCGTTCAGATCTCCCTCTCCAGAAGTCTATTCTGAAAGAATTTCATCGAGACCCAGGCACATGCAAGCCGATCAACAGCCCTCTTGGTATGACCACCCTTAGGGTCCACCACCCTTCCCCTATGCC